AGTCAATCCTAGTTGTAAACAGAGGTGTCCTTCTTCTATGGAAATGGCCAGGCTGGATTTCTCGTGCCTACTTACCCGAGAAGCCATTTTACTTTTATCTGTGTAGTTTTAGTTTAGTATCGAAAAGCCAATTTCTAAATGAAGTAGTGTCCTGTGTACTGCATATCACGTGCTAAATGCCTTGTTTCTCGTTATAATAACAACACACACTGAATGAAGAAAAGTTCAAAAAGTGGGAAATCCCAAATAAAAATCTATCACCTTAGCTGTGTACTATCTTAAGTTGCCAAATAAGTAAAGAAACTAATGATTGGTTTGGTTGTGGTTTGTTATTTGCCTGGAAGTCTAAGTAAGTGCTGATCTGGAACCAGAAATACTGAGCACAGTCCTCTCTGGAAACTTTAGACAGCTTTCTTTAAAATAAATCTTTTGTTGCCTGAGGAGCAAGTACTTTTATAAAACACTTAAGAGCTGACCTCAAACAGAACAATCCACTCGGACAGACGGACTCAGATTTCAGTGTCAGCTTCGACATTTTCTAGTTCTGTTACCTTTTGGAATGTTCCTGAACCTGTCTCTGTTTCCTCACTTTTAAAAATGGGGGTGATAACAACTAATCCCTAAGGGGTAGGGAAGATTAAGTAGACGATATATGTGCGGTATGATTGCCTGGTTAGCGCTCGACAGGAGCTGGCGATTAAACGTTGCCGTGGTTGCAGTTAAAAGGCAGAAGGGGAGGGAGGGACAAGAAGTCACACAGGTATACCTCTGCCTGGACAGGGTATCACCTGAAAGATAAAAGTTATGGGGGGAGGGGTATAGCTCAGTGGTAGAGACTGTGCTTAGCCTGCATGAGGTCCTGGGTTCAATCCCCAGTGCCTCCATCACAAAAAAATAGCTATAGGAGAGCTAAGTCCATCGATTTTAAAACAAAAATAGTGTACCTAACATTGTGTTCAGTGCTACAAGATAAAAGTACCGAGGCTTGCTATGTTCCAGGTGAGCATACCGAAGGTCATGTGGTGAGGTTTCTAAGAAAGACTGAAAGATAATTGCCATCTGTGATGCTAAGAGCAGCGGCAGGGCTAGTAGTGTGGGGCTAGGGGCAAGGGCAAGTGAGAAGCCAGAGGCCCAAAGGCTAATTCTGGCTCAGATTCCGTAAGGCAGGAAACTGCGTTTATGTAAAGCATGCTCCTAAACAAATGCAACGTATTAATGAATTAATCACAGTATCTCCCTACTGTTGACTCTTTAACAACAGCTTGGCCGAGAAGTTCTCCTTGTGTTAAGTGTGAGGAAAGATTCAGGGAGGCAAAGTGGTTTGTACAAAGTCACACAGCTGGAAAGAGAAGGACTGCGCTTCAAAGGCACGTCTACCCAGATTCCAGCACTCATCCTGATACTGGGCTCTCGTCCCCTCTGCTCTGTCTGTTGTGATTCTTCTCCGACCACCACATTCACACAGCTGGGGTTTTAGAAGTGAGAAAGGGAAGGGGAGGTATGGAACAAGACCCCGCCCTGGGCTTACAGGCAAGGTTAGACTGCCAGGCTTACCAGACACAGCAAGTCCTCTCTGGAAAAGTTCATACATTGTCTTGGCATCCGAGTAGTAGTAACGTATTAGGTCGTTGTTTTTCTGGCAAGGACCTCTCCGCGCTCCTCCCTATGACACACGATCAAGTTTAGGCAAGCCTGAGTCTTCCCCCCACCCTTTCTAAATCCTTATGGATTGAATTGCAGCGACCAGAAATGGTGATGACCATTGAGATCACAGGGATGACCTCTTTAGTATTCAACCAGTTCTTTAAAATCTCAAATTTGTAGAATCTTCACATCAGAGAAACCCAGAGATTATCAGTTACATTTCTGGCAATCTCCTCCCAATTCCCTAGCTTCCCCCACAACCCCATACACATACAGAGGAGAGAGAATATTATAACTAAATCCTTTTTTAAAAATCACATCAATGTTCAACATCTATCACATGCATACTATGTTCCAGGCACTGTGCAAAACTCTAGATGCCAAGTGAGTTAAGACAAAATCCCTATTCATGAGCACCTTGTAGATGAGAGATTTTGGAGCTGGGGTGGGGAAAGAAGGGAAAAACATGCAAATATAATACAGTGATGAAATGTTGCAATAAAAAAAAGTGTTTGGGGAGCTGAACGGAGCAATCAATTCTGTATCAAGTAGAAAGGCCATAGGGAAGAAATAATATCTCAATAGAGACTTTGAAGACAAGTAAGCACTTATCAAAAAAGGAAGCAGTCTGGTAGAGAGGAGGGAAAGGAAAACAATTCAGAGCGAAGGGACAGCCTGAATTAAGGTACAGAGAAAGCAACAAAGATTTACTGTACAGCACAGAGAATTATACCAAATAACTTATAATAGCCCAGAATGGACTACATAAAAGAAGTGAATCACTGTGCTGTACACCAGAAACTAATGCAGTACTGTAAATCAACTGCACATCAATTAAAAAAAATACAAGGCACAGAAGCAAGAAAACACATTGCAGAGTCTGGTGGGCAGTTTAAGAACAGGGTATCTGAGAAAGAGGGAGTCGCCAAGGATATGTCTAGAAATGTCAGCTAGAACTACAGGATCAGGCTCTGACGCAGATCCTGGAGCAACCAGAGGAGCTGTAGGCACGGTCCCACCCTCATGAGAGTTAGTTTAGAGGGAAGAGGCATCAATTAAATAAGCATTGAAAAATGTACATTACTACCGAGATAAGGGCTATAAAAGTACAAGGTCACACACGAGGCTGTAACAAGAGATGTGACCTCATCTACAGCATCAGACAGGCTTTCCATGAGATGTCGCATTACAAGTCAAGGTGTCAAAAATAAAATTCTTTTTTGTAGGAAAGGAAGACGGGGTCTTGCTGCCTATTTACACAGACTGAGGAAGCAGGAAGAATGAAAGATGATTTGACTCAACTTTAGGCAACTGGGTAAGGAGAGAGGCATTTACCTGAGATAGAGCAGGAGGGGAAACATGGAAGGGTGTGTGTGTGTGTGCATGCGTGTAAGGGAGAAGATGCACAGTGAAGAGGTGTGTTGAGCCTGAGGTACTTGAGTGTCGCTGAGATGAGCCAGAACTCGGGGAAAGGTGAGGACTAGAAAGTCAGATTTGGGGCTCAGCGCCTTCTAGGTGTGCTTTCACGTCATGGGAGAGGGGGCGCCTTCTCAGCTGTGAGACTATGAAAGCAGGGATTGGCAGACCATAATCTGGGGCCATATGTGGCTTGTCACTTACTTTTATTTAAAAAAAAAGCTGTAAGGGAACACAGCCATATGCATTCATTTACATAGTTTCTGGTGCTTCCCCTCTGTGACAGCAGAGTGGAGTAGTTGCAACAGAACCCACGTGGTCTGCAAAGCTTAGACTCTTCACTGTCTGGCCTTTACAGAACATGTCTGTCAATCCGTACGTTAGAGGAATCAAGAGATGGTGAGATTGAAACTGTAGGATGAGGAGAGGAAGGGACTTAAGTGACGAAGACAGACTGTCTTGGAATTAGGAAGAAATCTCATTGATGGATATTAAAGGCAAAAGGAGAAGTTTCAAGGAAGATGGTGTGTCAGATCCATTGAGAGGAAGGCTGAAGGGGAAATCCTTAAATTTAGAAGTGAGATTATGAGTGACTCAGAGAAGTTCAGGGAGAGTGGGCGTAAAGGTCAGACCTCAGCGGGTTGGAAGTCAGAAGGGGAAATCAACAAGCAGACCACTCTGAAAGACTGGGTGTGAAAGGGACGACTGAAGAAGAGGTGGCCTGAAGCAGCAGGGTCCACAGGACGTGAAGATGCTGATGAACATCTTCCAGATAAAAGGGAAGGTGGTGGAGGGTGGAGGTAACTTGGAGTGAGATTCCAGAGCAGAGGAACGAAATTTGTAAAAAGATCAGAGTGGGGTTAGCTTTACAAAGGAACAGTAACTTTTTTTTTTCTCTGAGAAGGACTGAAGATGCAAAATGATGGGAGAACATTCTTGGAGCTTTCCCTTGGCTCAGGGATATAGGGAGCTGTGTGTTTGCCGAAAAGTCAGGGAAATTGAGGGGAGAAGCCCAGTTCAAGGTCTGTCAGTTTTAAGGGTAAGTGTTAACTCAAAGCTGGAATTTAATGCAATCACTTCTTTACCGTTCTCAGACACTGACCACCCAATTAGTGTTCTCTTGTCCCCAGAGTACTGACTCTATCATTCTAGATATGGGTCAGCAAACTTTTTCTGTAAAGGGCTAGATAGTAAATACTTCAGGCTTTGTGGAATACATATGATCTGTCCCTCTTTTAAAAATTTTTTTTACATATCCCTTTAAAACTGTAAAAAATATTCTTGGCTTGCTACTCACACAAAAAAAGATGGATTTTGCCTGTGGGCTGTAGTCTGCCAACCCCAGATCTGGATTACTGGCATCACAGAACCTAACAACGGTTTCAACTTTATTACGAAGGAAAACGTGCCATTACAAGAAGTTTAAACTTGTAAATTTTCTGGGTTTTGCTAACCCAAAAAAGCCTACTTTCCCACCACACTACACCCAGTTAATCTAAGGTCTTGAATGACAGCGTGTGTTCTTCGATCAAAGCTGACACACTGAAAAGCTGATTAGTTAAGTTACCTCGATTCCCACTGACTGGTTGTTCAGATCTACAAGCGGCAAGACTGGCTGAGGTCTGTTAATTAGCCACAGGAAGATGGCAGCTCCAAAGGTCAGGATGCAGAGCAGTGCCGGGGTTGGAAGTGGGGAAAACAAGAAGTTAAAAATAAAAAGCATCTTTGTGAATGGCAGCAGCAGTAAATTCAGACCTTAAAAAAAGAAAAAAAAAAGAAGAAAGAAAAAGTTAAGAGGAAATGGCCATATTTTTTTTCTCAGTAACTCTATGTTTACAGAACACACATACACACACAGCCTCTAACCCTCCAAACAGCCAGGGTTGAACCCCTCTAGCAGCCAAACTCCCCTCACTGTTCACCTTAGCAATATCGAAAATAGTAGAATGCATTCTCCACCTCTGCTGCTTGAATGTCCTCCCACAAGGCAGAAAGGATCAAAGGAAACATGTTAATCATTTCCCAGGTAATTTTGAGAAACGACTACCCTTTCATTTTTGGCTCACGAAGCCTAGAAGAAGCCCTCTGGACCCGACATAGGCGGGTAGTCAGAGGAGGATGCTCCAGAGAGCTCCCCCTGCCCTGGAGGACTGAGGGTCATGAAGGACCCTTACAGCTGGATTTCCGTAGTGTAAACCGGAGGGGGGAACCTCTCGAGAGGTGACACCACAGATCTTAGAAATCAAGCATTCCGTGTGAAGGACACTTTCTGCTAACCAGCTATGCCTTGCTTATTGCTTATTGCCTTCTTTCCTGAGCCATCAGGAGGGTCTCAGAGATCAGCAGCATCACAACTTGCTATGGTCCAACGTCCTCTCCTCCAGAGACATGGAGGAACCATTCTTATTGGAGGCAACCTTTGCCAGGGGTACAGCAACGATGCTGGAGAATGGGCCCAGCACACGGTAGCAGGTGAGCACTGAAGATTTAGGCCAGGAAGAGATCGCAAGGAACCAAAAGAAACGAGGTCCTCCCCCGCCCCTCCCCCTTAGCTTTTCTTGTAGTTTCCAGCCAAGCTGAGCTTCAAACTACTCTAAGAGGAGGGGCGAACATTTGGGCAGGTCCTAGGAACTTACTCTCGCTGAAGCCCAGCTCTGCCCTCACAACTTTCAGATTTGATTAGGGCATAACAGCAGCACACACATGGGTGTTTACGTGGATTATCTAATTTAACTCAACCAATGTCCCGCAGTAGCATTTTACAGACAAGAAAATAGAAACTCCCAGAAATAAAGTGACTTGTCCAAGGTTGGTCACCATCTCCCACTGCTGCTTCCCTATTAAAATCTACAAAGCCACAGCTCATTTTTACCTTATAGAATGGAGCCACAGAGTTTAAGGAGCCTGAATTTGTCTGGCCCCTTACAGGTGACAGCAAAGGAAGTTCAGAATTTGTATTCTGTAAAGTTTACTGCAAGGCTCCACAGAACAATATCACAGAGATGAAGCCAAACACTCCCACTGATTCAAAATCAGGAGAGCCGGGTGAGTCCAATGAAAGGTTTTATCAGATCGAGACCGCAGTTACCCATAGAGCTTTGGGGCAGCTGACACTCGCTGGCATCTGGAGCTTTCTCCATTAAGGGAAACAGTTCATTCCACTCTAATAAAGGCCATAAGGCCTAGAAATTTTCCATGGGAGCAGGAGTAGTCACAGGAAATCCTGAGTCACTTGAATCATTTTTCTGTCCCTCTGATGGTTTATTACCTGAATTTGGTCCCTTCCCATTTAATGGAAGAAAACAACTTCCGGATTCTGGGATGACTGCCCCCATCTCCTTGGTTTCTTCCACACTGTGTTGAAGGGAAGATAAAAACAAAAGCCCAGCCCCACAGGTGCTAGGTTACCTAACAATGAGCGCCATTGTGACCACTTGCCAAGATTCTGAGAGCTGAGCTTTTTGGAATCCGGCCTTACCTGGACTGGCAGGAGAAGTGGCAGTTCAGGAGGCAAAACATGCTCAAAAGCCAGCCAGGCATGACGCCGTTCTAAGGCCAGCCACCCAACCCAGACTGAGAAGCGGGGCCGCCCGGGAAAATTGCAAAATTGACAGAATGTGTAGGAGGACCAGACGGAGGAGAAACTGGCTTTGTGCTGTTCCATCTCTCCCGCCACCAATGCCTCCCCTCAGCCTGAGATACTGCCAGGGGTCTGGTAGCATCTTAGGATCCAGGATGCTTCTCTCTGCCCTCACCCCACCTTCAAATAAGAGATTCTTACCTGTGGCCCCTTCTCAGCTGGGAGAACAAATTGTGGCACTGAGAACTTTTCCCCTGTACTTACACGTGGCAGATTTTATATTTTAATGGAAAATTAAATGGGAGACTTTGCAAACAATGTCTTCAGAAGACGGTCTAAAGGTGAAATGTGTGTTGAGATGTGGCCGTGTGGGTGGGGGAGGAGGGAGGGTGAATTGCCTGGCAGGTAACACAAAGGGAAGAGAAAGAGAAAGCCCAGGACCAGCTTCCAGGTAGCACCTACAGTCCAGCCCAGCCTATTGTTACGATGTTACGATGTTATGTGAGCCCGGGATCACCAGATGGTCAGATTTTTTTTTCTCCCTAGAAAACCTGGAACACTGGATTTTTATGAAACCTCAGTAACTATTGGTTCAAGTAATAAGAGTCTGGTATGGGATAGACAAAAACATATCTGGTTTAATCTGGACCGTGCTTGGCCAATTCTTGAGCATTCCTTTCAGACATATTCCTTCCTACTGCCCACAAATGGGATGAGCCTGTCCACTTCACCTCAAACAAGGGAGCTATTCACGAATGCCAAGGCCACGGCTTCAAGAGAATGAAAGCACCTTGCCCAAATTGACAAGGGATTTTATTTGCAGAAAACACCGAAGGACGTTATCTATTTGTCACCTGAAATTGCTCACCAACTTTGCTGTTGCTGACCAGCTATCCAATTCGAATAGGATATACATGGAATTTCAGAGACTTCCTCCCTGCCTCCCCATGTTTTTTTTTCAATTGAGGTACCATTCACATAACACAGAATTGACCATTTTAAAACCTACAACTTCGCAACATTTAATACGTTCACAGTGTTGTGCAACCACTGGTTATTTCCAAAACATTTTCATCACCCCAAAATGGAAACCATGTACCTATTAAGCAGTCACTCCCACTCTCTCCTCCACCTCACCCCTGGCAACCACTAATTTACTTTCTGATTCTATGTATTTACCAATTCTGAATATTTCGTATCAGTAGAATCACATAATACGTGATACTTTTGTGTCTGACTTCTTTCACTCAGCATAATGTTTTTAAGGTTTATCCATGTTCAAGCGTGGATTGGGGCTTCATTCCTTCTTCTGGCTGAATAATATTTCATTGTACAGATAGACCACATTTTGCTGATTCATTCATCGGCTGATATTTGGGCTGTTTCTACCTTTTGGCTATGGTTAATAGTGCTGTGAACACTTGTGTACAGACTTTGTCTGAATACTTATTTTCAATTCTTTGGGAGTAAATGCCTAGTAGTGGAATTGTTGGGTCATATGGTAATTTTACATTTAAATTTGTGAAAAGCCATCAAACTGTTTTCCACGCTGGCTGCATCATTTTACATGCTGATGAGCAACAGAGGATTCTGATATCTTTACCTCTTTACTTTACTTGCTATTGTTTCTTTTTTTGATAACAGCCATTCTAATGGGTGTGACATGTCATCTCATTTTGGTTTTGATTTTGCATTTCCCCAATGACTAACGATGTTGAGCATCTTTTCATGTGCTTTTCATGTGCTCATTTCTATTTCTTCTGTGACAAAATGTCTATGGAAGTTCTGTGTGGACTGGACTGGGAAGTTCTAGTTATCATTCTAAACTTTAGAATCCATCAGCACTTCCAGATGTGTTCAAATAAACAAAGCCACCATCTTTTTCATCACATGTCTTATGTCACTCAAATTCCAATTTTGGTTCAGTTATTCCACAGAACCCCCTGCAAGCTGTTGGCGTGATGACATTTCCTCTTAACATCACTCCCAGTTGGGAAAGAAGAGATTAGGGAGGGGTGCAATTACGGTAAAGAAAAGAGGAAAGAGAGTTGTGTCAAGTTGTTTGTGGGAGTTCCTGTCTGAGGTCATCTACAGATGGCTAAACAAGCCACAGGATGGCCCCAAGTGGAAAGCTTCCTCCACTTTCTGATGTGGTAATAGTGCCATCCCTCAACTCCATAGCCCAGGATGCCCATCTGTCCTCAGCCCTTCCCCCAGTTCACTCCAGGGCCGCCCTCCCTCCCTCCATGGTATGGATGGCCATAGCCAACATCACTCATCTGGCGCCTAACATGTTTAATTCCCAAGCTAGCTGAACACCCTCTGCCTCCATATTTGGTTGAAAGCTTCTAGGACCAGCCTTGGTATCTAGGTTATGACCACCCCATCTTTGGCTTTGAAGATTTAGGACAGCATGTCTTCATTAAATCTCTTTTTCTTCAGATAAAGTCCCTCAATGACCCCATCCTATTCTAACGTTCAAGTTTTTGGTCAACTATCTTTATTGCTATGAATCTTTCAGAATAAACCTATAACTGATAAATAATTTTTCTTTTGAAAACCTTTCATTTAAAAGATTTTATTTTTCATACATGTATTCTGCTTTTCAACCACAAGTCCACTCCCATCTAAGAGTCTCTGTAGTTGCTCCTCTTTTTGCCTGAAACACTGTTCCCCAGGTCTGTAATGATTATGTAATGCTCATGGGTCAGATCTCAACTCAAATATCATTTTCCTCAGAGGCTCTCTCTAATCACCCTATTTGCTATGGCCCTTTTCACCTCAATCACCAGCACGGATCTGCCTTCTCTTCTCCACGTTCACTGTCTGAAATAGTGCTGGTCCCTTTTCGTCCATTGCCTCTCCTGAACTGATGATTTAATTGGAACAGGGGTTTTTGTTTTGTTCACTACTATGTCTGTAATTCCTGCTCCATGCCTGGCACATCGTAAACGTTTGATGAGTGGTTGTTGAATAAATGACCAGTTTTCTCATTCAGAATTATCTGTTCGGAGGGGAGAGTATAGCTCAGTGGTAGAGCACATGCTTAGCATGCATGA